CAGCTCCTCACATTACACCGTACACCGAATCACCAAATATTACCAAAACCCCGCGTCCTCTCAAAACAAGGAACGAAAAAAAAAAAAACATATCAATTCTATCCCAGCAATCCTTTACGATGATGTAAACACCAGAATTGAATTCATTTAAAGTACTTAAAAAACTTCAATCCTTAAAAAAAAAGTCATAAAAACTGCGTTCAAACTATTGGATAATAAAATCTCCCTCGAAACATGGGGACTACTTTATTTCCCGCCGGAAAAAAAGTGAGAGATAAAAGTGGAAATAAGATTATGCAAACACGGGGAATTTTCATTTTCCAGAAATTGTTGTTCCTAATTTTTTATAACAAGGAAAACTTCATAACTTCAACGAAAAAGAGAGACTTTTCAAGACATAGAAATCATAAGTCATAAAAATCGGCAAAAACTCCAATTTTCCCTCGTACCCTCAGATTTTATTTAAACAATTACAAAAATATTTAATTGATCAAAACTGAAAGAGGTCAAACGAGTCACAATGTTCATTAAAAAATAAAACCACCCCATCAATCACCGAATGCTGATTCTACAATTCACCATCCAATGATAGCCCCCTTCCCCCTCTTTTTTTTTGGATAATGTCCTCCCAAAAAAGCCGCGAGCCTCGCCATAAATCATCCCCACAAATCCCAAGAAAAACTCAATAACTCTATCGTCGGTCGTCCTTACAACGTCACAGGGTCCGTTGGGCTAGGTCATGTGGAGGGCGCCGAAACGCCTATGGACCCCCTCTGCCCCCTCCTCACTCCCTTTAACTCTTGAGATTCAACTCTTGCAGAACAGAATAGAACAGAACAGTACGGAAAAACGGGTAGAGAGAAAGCAGTTTAAAAAATGGTGGGAGCGATTTCTCCCTTGCCCCCTAACAACCCCCCGTCCGCCCTCTCTTTCTCCAGGGGCCGTGGAGGAGGAGAAGCACCGAAAAAAGCAAGGCTCGCAGAAAGGACGCTCGACGTCGTGGCGCTCTTTTGCTGATCAATACGCCGCCTCGTACGCGAACGGTCACGCATGTGCACCGTTGGGGTTCTATACCACCCCCCACGTCCCCCGCCATTTTTTTTTCCAACCCCGATTTTTTTTAACCTCCCTTGCATTATTTTTTTCACCTTTTTCATACCCCCTCCGGCCCCTCACTCCTCCGCGCGACCGTGAAGCAAGCAAGGGGGCGCGGAGGGGTGGTGGGGCGAAGAAGGGGGGAGGAGGGGGTGGTGTATCCCCCTCTTGCTTCGCATAACCTCAAAAAGAGAAAGAGGGTTCTGAGGCTGAAAGAGAGGTCTTTCGATATTTTATTTTATTTTTCCCCTCCTTTTTTTTTTTATTCGCTCATCTCGATTTTCATGTACTCTCGCTAGACTTTTATATTTTACTTTCTATTCCTTTGCTGTACAACATGATGATTTTTTTTTCCCTCGTTTTTCGAATTTTCTCGCTTTTACTTGGTCTTGCATTTTTTATTTGGATTTTTTTTTTTACCCTCTTTTTCATTTCTCCTTTTAGAAACGATTTTTTCCCCTTTGGGTTTTCTACTCACTTTCTTTTTTTCCCCCTTTTTTTTCGCCGTTGTTTTGGTTTTTTTGTCTCCCACCGTATCAGCTCTCCCGCAGAACCACCTCCTACCCCCCTCTTCCACCAACAGTCCACCTCTTCTTTTCTCTTCCAGGCTGGGGCTTATATATTTTTTTTTTTCCAGGGGGCGTCGGCGTTCTTTTTCTATCGGCTCTTTTACTCTCTTTTTCCCGCTCCGGGTTGCGCTCACTCTTTACCAATACCTTCAATCCTCATACCTAACTTCTCTCCTTTTCCCCGGGTTTACTCCCCCACCCACCTCGCACTCTTTTGGTCACCATTCGCACAAGTACACACGTACTCTTATTTTGCCTCGGGGTACTTTTTTATATAAAGATTTTTTCCCTGTTCTGCGTCGGAGCTCGGAAAACGGCGAGCCAATGGAGGTGGGGCAAAACGGCATCCGCCATTGGCAAGCCAGAGGATTTTTTTGTTTTCAGAATGAATTCCTCTGAATTTATTTTGCCTCGTTGACTTCTACATCCCAGCCAAGAATATTCTTTCACTCGAAAAAATCGACTCTACGATTTCCGAAATATTGAAAAATTCAATGGGGCTAAATGGATTTTACAAGCTGAGGGTAGAATAGAATTTTTTTTTCGCAGCATGAGATGAAACCAATTTCATCCCCTCACCCCCCCATCGACTCCCGAGATATCCGCGAAAAACTGTTTTATTAAATTTCGTCGTTCTATTTTTATTTGGATTTTTATGAAAATTGGAAACGTCAATTTTTCGAGAGGTGTGACGTCGATAATTCATATTTTTAACAGCCCTGAAGATCTCATCTCCATTAGGCAATGCATGAATAATTTCCGAAAAAAATTACAATCATGCCCCGACAGCCAAAATACTGTGCTGATAGCAGTTATTCTGATCATACTCCTATTCTATCCTTTAATCATCAATGATCTCTTCATTTTATATATCCATTTCGTTTTAAAAATCTTCGGGAAAAACTTTATTTTTATCGATTCGCAAACTTTTATGGAATACATAATTAATTTTCAAGAAGAATCGGAGTTTCATTGAAAGCCATAATGCACCAACTCTAATTATTCATATGATAATCTCATTCGATATTTTCAATTGCGACATTATTTTAAAGATTATTTTAAGATATTTTAAGAAAAATCATGACAATTTTTGTGAAATGCCTTATGTTTACGCGAGGTATCATAATTAGTTCGTAAGAAGAATCGGAGTTTTCTGAGAGTTGTAATGACTTGATGACAATTATTGAGTTATAAATGTGAGAGATTTTAAATGAAAAATGGTGGTGGGATGATGGATTTGGGTGTGATTATCACTCCGGAGTTAAGATTTGGAGGGGCCCTGAGAAAGGAAAGGAGGTCATCCACTAAAACGGAAAGAAACTGATATCCCTTGGCTGGAGGGCAATGGACCCCAAAGGTCTTCAATGTCATTCCAAATCCCCATACATGTGAACCCATGGGGGAGATTCATAATGGGCTGCTCTAAATATACTGGCCCAATATGGATCGTCCATTTTTGCCCTCTACAGGTGGCATCCATGGTGAGAAAATTTTTATGTCCAAGGATTACTTTTTGTCTATTCCTTCCTCTCCAAGAGGATGCAACTCAATGGGAATTTTTCTTTCTCCCGAGGACACCATTTTTTCCATCTTCCGGGTGAGAAGATAAAAAAAATATTGAGTGATGTCCTCGCACCGGATATCCCACTGTCCACCATCTTGAATTTTTTTTTCAGGTGTTTTTTTTTCTGTTTCAGCATTTTTTTTTTCTTTTTTGTGTTTTTGGGGGGGGAAGACATTACTTTTGCCGCCATGTTCTATTCCCGTGGCAGGAAGAAGCGAATGTGCATTTTTTTAAAGCCGATTTTTTTTTTCATTCTCTTTTTTTTGTATTCTCTTCTGATTTTCCCGGGTGTTTTCCGTGTTTTTTTTTTTGTGTTTTGTTTTTCCATCGCTCTAAGGTTAGAATTGGTTCGTACTGGCGCCCAATCGATTGCCACTCACGGGTTTTTCTCTCTTCTTTATTTTGAGGGGTTTTTTATGTGAGGTTTAGGTGGGGAGCTTTTGTTATTTCTTGGTGAATTGATTTTTATTTTTTCAGTTATGTATGATTTTTTTAAATCGATAGGTCCTGTCGCTTTAATAAGGCTTTCTGCGCGTAATCTATTACAATTATTCTGCTTACAACGAGAATTTGAGTAATGGAACAGTTTGTTGAACGAGAAAAATAAAAATTCAGGTATGGGATATTAAATTTTGATTATCCCATATTATTAAACTCACCCTATTAACAATTAATTCGTCCAAGATTTTCTATTTTTCGTGTCTCCGCTCTCTGATTGCATAAAA